ATCACTTTCAACACGTTACATATGTCCCATGTATGTAGACATTAAGACTTGCTGTCACTATGGAAACATACATGATTTCATTCCTTCTGGTTATAGTGCTTCACTCAGCATTAAGGATAACTCACGTGAAGGGTATGTACTCACCGTTTCGAATCCAGCTGTGATGCAAACAATAGTCTGAACAATATATACCCCTACTTGTGCAATTTTGGGTCAAACAGTGATACTACAAGGTTCGCCCTCCTCTGCTGTCAGGAATGAGACCCTTCAGTTTACCTGTACCGTCGCCGGTAGTGGCTCCTTACAAGGAGCATTATAATTCCTTAGAGTAACACGTGTGTCTGAACTAGATTAACGCATATCGTTGAAAGCTGGTCATATCGAGTGTCAAACTAGCCGTCTATATCACAATGTGAATACATTCGTGGGTGATTGTGCAAGATACACCCGACCCGTTGTACAAGACATAGCATCTCAACCGCATTTCTTTGTCCCTGTAAGGGGCACGTAAATAGCTGTCGCAGTGAACAACGTTACTTACACCACTTTCAACACGTTATAAAAGTCACATACCTGTAGCCACTAGTTCACTGTTATAATGAGACTATGTATGATTTCATTCCTTCTGATTATAGTGTTGTATTCGGCATAATCGATAACCCACTCGAAAGGCATGTGCTCATAGTTTCACGTCTCGCTGCGATACAGACTTTCGTAAAAGGACCACGAACCATGACCTGAACAATTTACAGCTCTATCTGTGCAATTTCAGGTCAGTCATTGAGGCTACAAGGTTCGTCCCCCTCTGCTGTCAGGAATGAGACCTTTCTGTTTACCTGTTCTGTCACCGGTAGAGGCTCCTTACAAGGAGGACTGTCGTTCCAAACAGTAACAGGAAGATCATTAAACGCTCCGTGTATTGTCAATGCTGGTACCTGCAGAGAGTTCAGCACTCTTCCTGGGTACACCTGTGAGTGTGTGAGTGGACAAACGCGGGTATTCTACTTGAATATCACATCAGTCAGTACAGATGATGAGGGTACCTGGAGGTGTCAGTACAGCGCTATCAACAGTAACACCATAAGCCTGGATGTACTATGTAAGTACTAGTATATCAAGCTAATCAACAAAACGTATGTGTGTGGTAACCATGTAATATTATCAGTGAACAACCGTCAGGTTTGTTGACTTAATCATTTCCGTTTAATTATAACATGTTGCGTCTATACAAAACAATTATATTGAAAAATTATGTAAGTTGTGTTTTAAATAAAAGCGGCCTTACCCTGTAGGCATTCATAAGACAGACAGGCACCTTTCGACAGCACTCAATGTACTTAATATATATACTTCTACTTTTTAATTCCCTTGCACTATACTTGGTTGTTGAAACATAGATGGGCCAGGTATTACCTCTGTCTCCACAAACAAACAGGTAATAGAGATCGCCAGTCCTGGTATAGACTGTAGCATTAACATCACACCCAGCAACCCCCCAACATCGACAACACATATTCTATGACCTCGACCTTCAAGCACTATTGTTATACCGACATGGGACGGCATGTACCGGATGTAAATTTGCAATGATTCAAGAGAGTCGGTTATTTATAAATTTGTTGGTTATATGCTGAGTCAAATTAAAAACTTCACATTTTTAAAAGTAATCCCATATATGATATACAACGGACAAATGTATCAGAGAAGGTAATTTTTAATCATTAATGTCCACAGAAGGATTTTAATGGTAACGCTGGTAACCATAATTTGTTCCAAGCACCTACGGTATTCGGTAATAACATCAACAGTTTAAATCATAAGTCAATTCAATTCAATTCGGTTTATTTTCGTAAGTGTAGGCCATCGGCCCATGGTTCCATTTGTATGACAATGGACGTGATGTACACAGTTGTTATTGTTGTGACAATAATGTACTACGAAGTGACATCGCTTGATAGATATAGATAGCTAGACGTTCAATTAATTTACAATCAGTTGTAGACATAATGATATTAAATTTTTGTATTGTCGGATATTCATAAAATTTTTGTGGTAAGTGATCCACGTGTAGCTTGTTATAACCGGAGCAAACTAGCAAAAAATCATACTCGTCCTCCACATACCCAGCATTACAAACACAACATAGTCTTCTGTTACGTGGGATAGCAGCATATCTCCCAGTTTCAACACACAGCTGATGCCAAAAACATCTAAACCGAGCTAGCGCCACTCTCAATTTACTGACGGTCACACAGCTAAGATACAACTCTGTACCAAACGATACCTTGAATAGAGAATAAGAGAAAGATTTACTACCCTTTACCAGAAGACTATGCCAATCCTGTTCATAACTACATTTCAGAAGCGACATAAATTCTGTCCAAAACGAATGAGGATGACTTATACACTGGTTTTCCCATACAGAGCCAAAACCCAAACCGAACAATAAAGATTTACCTTTTGAGACCCAATTAATTTTACCATTACTTTCTGCCTGAACCCTCATATAATAAGATTTCTTTGGAAAGTGACAATCGGACATACTCAATAACCTTATCCAATAACCAATAACTCTTTTGTATGCATAAAGATATAATGGATACCGCCCACATTCACCTCGAACCATGTTGTTGGGTGTTGACGATTTGACACCTAAAAAGCGCTTGCATGCCAATGTATGTAAAGTTTCCATTTCATCATTCTGGTGTAGAACCCAGACTTCGGATCCATAGAGCAAAGTTGGGACTATTTTCATATCAAATATTTTAGAATATAAGTCATATCGAAGAGGATGTAATTTTATCAATGACTTTAAAATTCCAAACATTGCTTTTTTCCCCTGTACACCAACATTAGAAAAATGACTTGACCAGGACAGGCTTCTCGTGAAAGTAACGCCCAAATATTTATAGGAAGACACACACTCCAACTTTAGACCTTTATAGTACCAAATCTCTTTATCTTGACAACACTCCACCTTTCGTAAAAACAACCACCTTGGTTTTATCAAAATTGACATCTAGATCATAATCATTACAATATTTTTCTAGAACATCAATACGCTTCTGAAGTCCACCTATAGTATCTGCGATTAAAATAATATCGTCTGCAAATAATAACTCTGTAATATCAGGATGAAGTTGTATTCCTGGTCCAGAATTCTGTTCAACTTCAGCAGCTAGTCCGTTAATAAACATCGAGGATAAAAGGGGGCTTAACACACAACCCTGACGTACTCCTCTTGAAAACTGAAACATTTCAGAAAATGTATGTTTAAATTTAACACTGGCCTTAACAGCTGTATAAATAGACCGTATAGCTTTTATCATTTTGCCAGCTACACCTTTATTAGCTAGTACTGACCATAATTTCATCCAGTTTACACTGTCGAAGGCTTTTGCAAAATCGGCAAACAAACCATATACCCTACCCTAACGCTTACTGATAAATCTCTCGATAATACACTGTAATATAAAGATATTATCTATGGTGGAGTAATCATGACGAAAACCAGCCTGGGACTCTGCAATTTTACCATAGACCTCACACCAAGAAGTGACCCTTCTGTTCAAAATAGAAACATACAACTTACTCAGCGCACTAAGGACTGATATACCCCTATAGTTGGATGGGGAATGGATGTCTCCTCGCTTATGTATCGGAACAATAATTCCCAAAGACCAAGATTCAGGAAAGTATGCATTATCAAACAACTTATTAAACAACACTGTAAGATACGGGACTAAAATATCATATTTAAAAAATTCTGAAATGAGGTGGTCATTTCCTCCGGATTTATCAATTTTCAAAGAGGTGATGGCACATAGCACCTCCTCTTGTGAAATGGGGAAGTCCAGAATATAGCAACTCATATCATCATGACTATCATTAATAGTCGTGTCGGTGTTAACCATATCTTCATCTCTTGGATTGTCAAACACATCTTTAAAATGATCGACCCATTGTTCTAGTGATATGTTAGGTACACGAGTTGCCACACTCTGAGATAATCCTCTTATGGTAGACCAGAAACATTTACTATTTAGAAGACTATATAAAACCTTATTACGCATATATTCATTATGACTTTTCTTTTCACGAAATAAACTTGTATAAGTATTTCTTGATTTTAAATAACTAACTAAGGTGCTATCATTTTTAAGATGTCTATATATTCTGAGACACCTCTCTCTCTCCCACCTGTAGTACCGACACACGCTATCAAACCAGGGCTGTGTGTGACTGTCGCGAGACTTACAAGTCCTTTTCATGCACTGAGCAGCTGTACAAATGGTGTCCGTGAATGAGTTAATAGCATCATCTATATAATCTGGTAGTAACAGAGTACATTGTTCAAAACAATCAACAACATGTGGCAGTACAAGATTATCCCTGAACTGTTGTAGTTTCGCCATGTCCCACACATAGTGGCAGTTTTCACGAGGCGCACGTGCGGCCCTTGCTGTCTCAACGGGAATCTCCTGATCACGTGCTTGAAATGAACAAGATAGTGGAAGGTGTGAGGATTCTGCCCTGGACACAATATCAAATGTGTTACAGTGGAAGAATAGACTGTTGGATACAATAATGTAGTCAATTACACTGGAGCCTGAGTGACCGATGTCAGTATAATCACCTATACCTAAATCCGTACCACAGCGACCATTTAGAATAGACATATCGAGAGCGGCACACATATTGACAAGATATTTTCCGGCATTGTTTACAATGTTATCACATGACACTCTATCCATGTTGGTACTATCAGACATAACTGACATATTCTCGTCACCTTAAACCTCGGCGATATCATCATCAATTTGATCAGACAGTGTCCCAGTCCGGGCGTTGAAATCCCCGCCTATGAGGATGTGTATATCTCTGTTAAGTGACCCAATAACTTCTATAAGTGAGTTGAAGAATAGGTCAAACCACACTTAGTTTGTCTGTTATTAAACCAACTTGATCCTGGAGGATTGACATATACACAGCAAATAAGAATGTCTTTCTCAAGATTAAATGCACTTTTATCTAAAGGTAAAAATATAGCATTGTCTGCAATTCTGGACCATTTCACATAGACACTGATGGATTTTTTCACAATCACAATTAAAAATCCCGAGAATCGTCCTCTGTCTGCTCTTTTAATTGCATTTAGGCTGTAGGCTGTAAAGTTGTGGAATATCAAATCAAATCATAAGTCCCAAGCAAGAGAATCTGATGGCACACAATTTCAGTAGCGTGTATGGCCACCATGTGCGTTGACAACTGCCACACAACGCTTCCGCATAGACCTTGTGATGCTTGTGAACACATGTTTTGGAAGACGACGCCATTGTTGCTGCAAAATGGTGCCAATCTCTTGCAAATTCTGTGGTTGGTTCTGGAGAGTGCGCAGACTTCTGCCAAGAGCATCCCAGACGTGTTCGATGGGATTGAGGTCGGGAGACCTTGACGGCCAGTCCATGACGTTGACTCCCGCATTCTGAAGGAAATTCCTTGTCAAAATTGCTGTGTGGAGTCTGGCATCGTCGTGTTGGAAGATCAAACCGGGTCCATGAGCTGCCATTAAAGGCAGAAGTTCTGGTGCCAGTACCTGGTCGCGGTAAGCAGCAGCGTTGAGGTTGCCACGGATGACAAGAAGCCTGGAACGTGAATTGCCACAGAAAGCACCCCACACCATCACACTTCCGCCTCGAAATCTGTCAACTTCCTGTACACAACACTGGGCGTAACGTTCATGACGGCACCTCCACACTCTCGCCCTACCATCAGCAAATCGAAGATTAAATCGGGATTCATCACTGAAGACAACTTGATTCCAATTCCTCTGAGTCCATCGTAAGTGTCGCTGTGCCCACAATTGACGTCAGAATCGGCCCGCAGTATGGCTGTCGTGCTTGAAGGTGAGCAGTTCTCAGACGGTTTCGAACAGTTTGCGCACTCAGTCTACCCCTAAACAGTTCATTTCTGGTTGATGTAGCCGTCAAAAATCGGTTACGGAGGTGACGTAAGACAATCTGACGATCCTCTGCATGTGACGTCACACGTGATCGACCTGGCCGAGGGCGATCAGCGGTGGTACCCGTTTGCTGTAGACGCGTCTGTAAATCATAAACAGTCCGTCGACTACAACCCATCGTCCTTGCGACTTCAGCTACTGACGTTCCCGTCTGCAACATGCCGATGGCACTTTCACGTTGCACATTTGAAAGGCGTGGCATGACAAATGGCCGTAAAGACTTTTGTTTTCTTGTGTTTTTCATTTTTTCTTAATGACTGCTAACAAGTATGTCTGAAAACACATGCGGTATTATGGCCACGTGACCAGTTGCACGTGAAAAAACACTTTTGTCACTATAGTGCTGTGCACATGATTTTGATTGATTCACATGCACAAAAACGGGTGTTATCTGAAGACAATACGTGGCCATTACTGTTTAAATACACAATAAGGGCCCACAATGGTAACTGGTCAAAATGTTAAAATTTTAGGATTGTGAAGTTTTTAATTTGGTTCAGTGTATTATGGTGTGGGTTTTCAAACACCTGAGAAAAATGATCCAAAGCCATTGGTGGTAGCAGTATCTCTTTTTATTCTTACATGTACCTAGTAACATTTTCCTATGCATTAACATTAGCATTAATAATTGAGTAGGTTTCAAAATGACCGAGACAGTTTATTCTCTGGTATTGGTGGGATTTTTAATCCAATGATGTGAAATCTATTTCCACCAGACGCCCCAGCAATAATCACCGTACCTACCAACAAGAACGTGATAGAGAACGCTAGACCTGACATAGACTGCAGCAGTAACATCACACCCGGCAACCCCTCAACAACACGCTACAGGTGGACAGGTCCAGGAGAGTATAGCAAGGATGGGGCTGTACTAGACAGGCTTGTCAACAGGAACCAGGGAGGGATGTACACCTGTACTGCCACCAACACTGCAGGACTGTCGGATACGGCCCAGGCCAACATCAATGTGCAGTGTCAGTATCACAACCTCTAACAATGTATAAGCATGTTTTGAATACATTTAGTGCCCCATCAACTTTAATTGAAAATGGGCTATGCGTTTACAATGTTTAGCAGCATTGTGCAGTTCTCATGGAAATATTCAGGACAGTCGAGGCTTTGTTGTCATCAGCTTCTGTACCTCATCATGGGGTAGCCTGGTTGTTACAGCATTCACTCACATCTGTTCAAGTTTAGCACTTGCCGTTTGTCTAAATGAAACTGTGAGATTCTTAAAACTGATAAATATCATACATTTTGAGCTCGAAGACCAATAGAGTGGTGTTTAATTAAACCACTGGATTCTTCTTGGTCTACCAATCTGCCCTAGCCGAGTTCCTCTTTACTACAAGCTTGACCCCACTGCAACAGGCACAGGGAACATGTGTCTCCTTTTGCGTTGATGGCAGAGTTCACGTACAGAGGTCGGTGCTTACCCTTTTCGCGAACACCTGGTGTTATCACTGATTTTCAGCAGTATATTCATGCTATTTTCACCACTATTTTGCCTTTCAAGCCCAATGAAATCTATTTCAGAGGATAATCCAGGTCCATTATTCTCTGTCCGTGATGATTTATGTATACAAAAACAAACTAATAGCTATCACTACGCAGATGCTCCAGTAATAGCCGATCTGCCTCCTAATAACAACGTGATAGAGAATGCCAGTCCTGACATAGACTGCAGCAGTAACATCACACCCGGCAACCCCTCAACAACACGCTTCAGGTGGACAGGTCCAGGAGAGTACAGCAAGGATGGGGCTGTACTAGACAGGCTTGTCAAAAGGAACCAGGGAGGGATGTACACCTGTACTGCCACCAACAATGCAGGACTGTCGGATACGGCCAAGGTCAACATCAATGTACAGTGTGAGTAATTACTACATTGCAATATCTGTAGTCCACATTGTCTTAACAGGACTACAATGTATACGTTAGTCTCCAGTTAAAAATGTCCATATTCAAGTGTAGTGTAAGTATAGCAGCAAAGCACATTTCCACAGTCTATATATGTTATAAACATTAACGAAACACACATGAATTTGGGTGTGCTGTGTATCAGCCTTTGGCTACCGCCTATTTGAACCAGTATGTGTCTATTTTTGAAAATGTTCGTGCACATGTCACCCCACTGTTCCAGGCACTGCTACTTGTCAGTCACAACCAGATCGACTCGGACACGGGATTGGAATTGGAGTTGGAGTTTCGCTGCCTGTGGTACTTGTCTTAGTTGTTATCATTGTATTGATGTGGCGACGAAACCATGAACTCATTGAAAAGGTTAACACAGGTAATTATATGACTTGTAGCCATATGTGTTTCTTTGAGCAGAAACGTTCATGCTTTACAGTAGTTACTTTACAGTAGTGTTAAAGGTAGCAATTGAAGAAATGGCTGAGTGTAGGCTCTGCCTCTCAGGTGGACAGTGCAGAGCAATACAATGTTTACTCAACTGTTTGTTTTGCGAGGTACACATGCAGAAGGGTATATTCCATTGTGACTTATTTTAGCCACGTGTTACTTTAGACTTTCCAGCCGTTTAATAATACGCGATGACTTAAGGATATTCGTGTTTTGTAAGTTTAAACTTTTTGAAATATTCCTACTTACGAAGGAGACATTGGAAACCATGCAGTTATAGATATAGTTATAGATCTAGTTTTATGTTAATGTTACATATATTGATTTAGGATTACATGCATTTATGTCAGGACCAATACTCCACTTACAGATCAAACAGAAACCATCGAAATACAGTCACAAGGGTAAGATGCACAATATCTGTCTCAGTCAATTAATCATAGAAATAGAAAGCGTCAACGACAGAGAATTATCAGACTCCAGTATCCGCCAAAACATCAGACGCTACGTCAGATCATCAAATATATGCGCGTACAACATTCTCACTCAATTGGACAAACTCCTGTCAAAATCGCTTTTCAGTGGACGCAGATCCCTTTTTAACAATCACCGACAGCATTTTCTTCAAATATTTGTTTTATGAGATTTGATATTTTGGTTGTCTATGTGAAGTGTATTGAACCAATGATGTTTTCTAACGTTACATTTGTTGGTTTGTTCTAGACACAGCACACCAAACCAAGGTAACTTCATCAATGTCCAACATATAACACTGCAGACGCAAAAGTTAGATTGTTAGTCTGTCATCTCATTATAAACATATACTGCGCCAGATTACACGCAGCGTTAGTGTGACGTGACATTGCATTCAGTAATTCAACTATACTTGAGGTTTGGAAATGGTAATAAATCCTCTTTAATCATTTAAAACACAAAAATATAAGCAGGTTAAATAGCACCCTTGGACATCATCAGTCATTAAACTTAAACGTGTTCCAGAAGAAATCAGTGATCACTCACAACTTCACAATATTCGCTTTTAACAATTATATATGGATTAGGTTTTTTAATTGTAATACATCCTGCTAATCTCTGTTAAGTACACATATATGCAGCTTGAATAGCACATGTTGACATTAGCAATGATTAGATTGAAATGTGTTTCAGAACGGCAGTTTTCTAATATTATCGAACGAATCACATACCATTTCTATGCAGACATTACTGGACATTAATTAGTATTATATGTATTACTCTTCATGGTCATGATATTGTGTTATATTTAAGTAATGTCACGATAATCATATCTTACTGATGCGTTCAATTATTTTTTTTGAAGATGGAGCCTATGCAAGCCTTGATGAGCACGCCCCTCAGAATAACGAATATGAGAAACTGGACATGGCAAACAGCGAAAAAGGTTGTTACCATAATTTGTTTATATCGAGATATTGTTTAAGGCTTCACCCAGGCGGGGATGGGTTGGTGGTAGGGGTAAGGGGTTCTTGTGGTCTTTGGCATCTCAATAATCAAGCCATATGCTGGCGGCCTGTAAATAATCGAACCTGGACCAGACAATTCAGTTATTGATATTACTAGCAACGGTACACGCCGTTGGGATACGTTAACACGCCATCAACCTTGTCACCGAAGATGACCACCAGATCCATTTAGTCACCTCTTACGACCAATATATGTTTCTATCGAGAGATTCTAAGTCTCCAAGGAGCCTTGATTGGGGCAGCATTTTAATACACACGGGTTTTTTGTATGCTCTGTATTATTGTCTCTATACAAAAAGCGAGTAGGAAATATTTAAGGAAAATGATATCAGTGATTGTTAAAAGTGTTCTGCTCGTCTACTGAAAAGCGAGTTTGAGTTTGTCCAATTGTGTGAGAATGTTGCACGTCCATATATTTGATGACATGACGTAGCTTCTGATGTTTGACACAGATTGTTTCCTTTCGGGAACACCTGTTGACATCACTGATTTTCAGTGATCAGTCATAAATAAACAAGGGGCGGTCGGGTAGCCCTGTTGTTAAAAGGTTCGCTCGTCGCGCCGAGGACCCGGGTTCGATTCCCAACATGGGTACAATGTGTGAGTGAGTGAGTGAGTTAATATTTAAAGTCACATCGGCACTATTTCAGCCATATCGTGACTTGATCAAGTTAAACATTTAAATTATATATAAAAACCTGTCGCCGAAGGACAGTAAAACAATTAGCAATATATCACAGATTATAATTTTAAAAACTAATTTTAGAGCAATAAAATGATCAAATTATATCAGACGACACAGTATAAAAACGGGCTGTAGATCGCCAGCAACCAAAGTTCGGCCACCATACTAGGGACCATGGGGACTTACGGTACTTCTGCTACCTACATGGTCCCCAGCAGGATTGACACCATCCCTCGGGCTACAATGTTTGAAGCTCATTTCTGGTGTTCCTCGCTGTGATTTTGCTGGAATTTTGCTAAAAGCAGCGTAAAAGCACTCACTCACTCACTTATTCATAAACATGTTCACCATTATTTTACATTTTACGCCAAATTGAAACTGTTTCTGCAGATAACGGAGACTGTTAATTCTCTGGCGTTGACGCTTTCTACTTGTTTGATAAATTACCTTAAAGAGATATTGTGAATCTTACCCTTGTGACGGTATTTCAATGCTTTCTGTTTGATCTGGAAGTGGAGCATGAAGTCCTATCATTAATGCATGTAATCCTAAATATGTGTTTATAACATTTACATAAAACTGTGTTTGTTTAGAAAGAGCAGTATGGGTTCCAAGTCATCAGATAATAAAATTACTTAACGGATGGAAAATCAAAGTAACACGCGGCCTAAATACGTCACAATAGAATATACTTTGTGCACATGCACGTCAACAGAACAACATCTTGATTAAATGTACCAAACAGTTGGGTAAACACTATACTGCCCTGCCTTGTCCATGTGTTACGCAGAGCCTACACGCTACCAGGATACGCTCACCTTTTCACATACACCTGGTATCATCACTATTTGATGGTGATTCATAAACACATGGTCATAATATAGTCGGAATCGTACAATCCACTCTGCTGTATGCAGATATTTCTATATGATATGGAAAGGGTTTTAATGCTTTATTGACTTTCTACCTTTACCACTTATCACGTAACCAGTTGAAGTATTTACAGTAACTACTGAAGGTACGTAGGCTTCTGCTTAACTAAACACATATGGGTACAAGTCACATAATTACCTTTGTTAACCGTGTCAATGTGTTCATGGTTTCGTCGCCATATCAATACAATGATAACAACTAAGACAAGTACCACAGGCAGCAAAACTCCAACTCCAATTCCAATCCCTTGTCCGAATCGATCTGGTTGTGACTGACCAGTAGCACTGCCTGGAACAGTGGGGTGACATGTGCATACACAATTCCAAAAATAGATACATTAGGGTTCATATTGGCCGTAGGCAAAGGCAGATACACAGCACAACCAAATGCATGTGTGTGTCGTACACAAACACGGAAGTGAGGTGTAGTCTTGTAACTGAAGCATTCGCTTGTCACTCTCAAGACCCTGTGTCGATTGCCACATGAGTACATGAGTGAAGTCCAATTCTGATGTCCTCTGCGGTCATACATGTATATCCAAAAAAATTCTTCAAGTTGCGTGAAACCATATTCACTCACTCACTCTTAAGTAACACAGACAATCGGTAATGTTTTTCTGTGACATGCATATATGCCACATGACAATGTTTTCCTTTTCCTGCTCAGAAAGTAGACATGAAAATAATTAATACTACATAAAACTCACTTGCTGGTGAAAGTCTGTACAGCAGTATACTTTCCCCATAGGAGTTATTCATCCTCAGTGCATATGTCCCGTAGTCCCTGGAGTGTACAATCCTGACAATAAGGACTGTCTGTAAGTCTGAGCTGAATACAGTGTAGTCAGTAGCGTCGTCTATATTATCCAGGTGCCCGCTATCATATCTCCACCAGGTGAAATGTGGCAACGGGTTGGCTGCAGCTGTAGCCATCATGGCAGCTGTGTCGTTGATTTGTCGAATTATTGTTGGACTAAAATCCTTCTGCATATCTCGTTTTGGACGATCTGATCAAATGTAAAAGATCTATGTTTATAATTACAGGAAAATGGAAGAATTTTATTGTTTGAATATATTATCTTTAATAATTTCATAATATCAAGAATTCTTTTTCTAATCTCTTATTCATCTGTATGATACGTGTTCAGTGAAATTCTGCTGATTATCACTGACAGGGACATGCAAGGAGTTCTGTCTCTTTTCAGCTGTCACTTCAAATACAAAATTACCTGCAGAAGATAACTGTACAGAAGTTTCATCAATAAATACTGTTATCGATTGTCCATGCTCACCATTTCGTGGATACCTGGTGTCATCACTATATTTGACAGTAACTAGCATGATTTTGAAATTGTCAGAATCTGAATTGACTTTGTTTTTGCAGATATTCTTATGACTACGGAAATGGCTTTGTGGCTATTATATACTTACACTACACTTGAATATGGATATTTTGAACTGGACTCTAACGTATACATTATAGTCCTGTTGAGACCGCGTGGACTACAGATATTGCAACGTAGTAATTACTCACACTGTACATTGATGTTGACCTGGGCTGTGTCAGACAGCCCTGCAGTGTTGGTGGCAGTACAGGTGTACATCCCTCCCTGGTTCCTGTTGACAAGCCTGTCTAGTACAGCCCCATCCTTGCTGTACCCTCCTGGACCTGTCCACCTATAGCGTGTTGTTGAGGGATTGCCGGATGAGATGTTACTGCTGCAGTCAATGTAAGGACTAGCGTTCTCTATCAAGTTGTTATAAGGAGGCAGATAGGCTATTGCTGGAGCATCTGTGTAGGTAGCGATAGGGATTAGTTTGTTCTTAAAGTATAAAACATCAACGCCGGAGAAGAATCGGCCTCGATTATCCGCCGAAACAGCTTTCATTGGGCGTGTAAGGCAAAATAGTGGTGAAAGTTACATGAATGGATTACTGAAAATCAGTAATAACACCAGGTGTTCGCGAAAAGGGTAAGCACGTGTAAGCACTGATCTCTGTACGGGAACGCTGCCTTAATGGCAATAGGAGAAATATGTTCCATGTGCCTGTTGCAATAGGGCCGCAGCTGCATTAAATGGGAACTCGGCGTGGGTAGATTGGTAGATCAAGCATTAATCTACGAGCTCAAAATGTATGATGTTTATCATTCTAAGAATCTCCCAGCTCCAGTTTGACTAACCGCGAGAACTAAACTTAAACAGGTGTTTAGTTTGGCGAGTGAACGCTGTAACAACTAGGCCCCTGACTACTGACAAAGAACAGAGGCTAATTCCATCAAAGTATCGACTGTCATGTATATTTTCCTGTGATGCTTAACACTGTAAAAGCATAGCACATTTTCAATGAAAGTTGTCGCGTTACTAAATGTATTCAAGATGACACTCTAATGTATTGTGAGTAACTGTGGTACTTACAGTGAATATCAATGTTGACCTGGGCTGTGTCTGACAGCCCTGCAGTGTTGGTGGCAGTACAGGTGTACACCCCTCCCTGGTTCCTGTTGACAAGCCTGTCTAGTACAGCCCCATCCTTGCTGTACCCTCCTGGACCTGTCCACCTGTAGTTAGTCCTTGAGGGGTTGCCGGGTGTGATGTTACTGCTACAATCTATGTCAGGACCAGCGTTCTCTATCACGTTCTTGTTAGTAGGTACGGAGGTTATTGATGGGGCGTCTGGAGGCAATAGATTTCACATTATTGGAATATGAAACGCCAATACCAGAGAATAATCTGTATCGATTATCAGCCGAAACGTATTCAATTCGGCGCAAGAGGCAAACACCGATAAAGCATGTCCCGCCCCACCAGTCACCCACACAATTCTCATAGAAAAGTTCGTTGTTAGAGCAATACATGTATAACATCATTGTGATGTAGCCTATATATGTCAAACAATATATTTAACTATACACTATATACATCAGTAGGAATTATAAATTCTTATCTTAATAATGTAATAAGCCAACACCTTTAACTATATACTGAAACATTTATACAACTGAGGATATAAAACAGGTATCAAGACATGGACATCAGTACCCATGTCACTTGATTTATGTTATTAGTGATTTCAGACATATGGCACTTACCAAGAGTTTGGTGTATCTAAAGAAAACTGTACAGAATAATGACAACTAATTACTCAACTTTACCTAAACAAAAACAAACCCCCAATAGCATCTCAACACTCTGGAAAATAAAGATTATGACGTTTGATACAGTGGTGGAAACCATAATCAGAGATTTTCGATGTGTCTGGGATTTGAACACGCAATCAATGGATCATCGCAAAACTAAGGAACTCATACCTGCATAGCGACTTCCGGCGCCTGAGACTACTGGGCATCTCGTTGGGTGTTTTGAACAGTTACATTTAAAAGTAGTTACAGACACTGCTAACATCAATGTCTTGAGATAATCGTCTCTGGTGTATGAAAACACCAACCAAAACAGAAACACAAAATTCATACATAACAGACGCTCTTGAATCATCGCAAGTTTACCTTTACATCAGATATCAGTCGTCCCACGTCGGGATCACAATAGTGCTTGAAGGAACGCGGTCGTACGTGAGTAAAAGCATGCTTACACTGAACGGTTACATTGACTTGATAAGTGTCCGACAGTCCAGCAGTGTTGGTGGCGGTACAGGTGTACATCCCTCCCTGGTTCCTGTTGACAAGCCTGTCAAGTACAACCCCGTCCTTGCTGTACCCTCCTGGACCTGTCCACTTGAAGCTTGTTGTTGAGGGGTTGCCGTATGTTATGTTCCTGCTGCAGTCTATACCAGGACTGGCGTTCTCTATTACTTGTTTGAATGTGGGAACTGAGGTAATACCTGGCCCATCTATGTTTCAACAATAAAGAATCGTGGTACGGAATGAAACACTGAACGTATATGATTGTATGTGTATGTAGCAGATGACAAATATACAAATACCATACATATAGAAAACCCAGTTTACGAATTACCTGCCATTAACGAGGTACTGTTCTTTTGTTCAACAGTTGTGAAATTCTGATGAATAAAACAACCCTGTCAAAATTGTGATGATCTCCGACAATTTGCTTGAGATTGTGAAGACCTGTTGTGGTGGCGCTAGCAAACAAATATTTAAGTTGAATGCCTTCAATCAAAGCGCTTAACGTGGAAGGACATGTTCAACTGAATGCAGTCTGAATTTTAGGCACTGTTTAAGGGTGCTTGTATTAAAATATAATGTATCATTCAAGATAATTGTTTTGTCATTGTAAAACACGTTATGATTAAAAATACACGATTAATTCAACAAACTGTTTGAACATGATAATATACATGGTTGCTGTTTTCTACTATACCAATCCCAGACTGAGTGCTTTCAGCATTCCCGTATTTGTCTGTATATAGTCACTTCATCTAGCTTTACTCATATTCGTGTCGTTACCACAGACACCCGTTCTTTTTTGTACATACGTTTGATATACTTACATAGCACATCCAGGCTAATGGTTTCACTGTTAATGCCTTGGTGCTGACACCTCCAGATATCACCATCATCTGTACTGACTGATGTGATATTTAAGAAGAACACCCTGGTCTGTCCACTCACACACTCACAGGTGTACCCAGGAAGATTGTTGAACTGGCTGCAGGTACCAGCATTGACAGTACAAGGAGTAAATGACACCCCTGTCCCTCTTATAAAGTACAGTCCTCCTTGTAAGGAGCCACTACCAGTGACGGTACAGGTAAACTGAAAGGTCTCATTCCTGACAGCAGAGGAGGACAAACCTTGTAGCCTCAATGTCTGACCTGAAATTGCACAGATAGAGTTATAAATTGTTCAAGTCATGGTTCGTGATCCTTTTACGAAAGTCTGTACCGCAGCTAGACGTGAAACTATGAGCACGTACCTTTCACGTGGGTTATCCATAATCCCGAATACAACAGTATCATCAGAAGGAATGAAATCATACATATTCTCATTATAACTGCAAACCTGAGTGGCTACATGTATGTGACTTTTATAACGTGTTTAAAGTGGTGTAAGAAATGCTGTTCACTGCGACAGCTATTTACGTGCCCCTTCCAGGGACAAAGAAATGCGGTTGAGATGTAGGCCAGCTATATCTTGTACAACGGGTCGGGTGTATATTGCGCATTCACCCACAAACGTATTCACATTGTGAAATAGACAGCTAGTTTGACACGCGATATGACCAGCTTTCAACGATATGCGTTAAGCTAGTTCAGACGCCCGTATTACTCTAAGGAAGTACAATGCACCTTGTAAGAAGCCACTGCCGGTGACGGTACAGGTAAACTGAAAGGTCTCATTCCTGACAGCAGAGGAGGCGAACCTTGTAGTATCACTGTTTGACCTGAAATTGCACAGGTAGGGGTAAATATTGTTCAGACTATTGTTCGCGATACTTCACAGTAGATGGAGTGGAAACAGTGAGTACATACCTTTCACGTGAGTTATCCTTAATGTAGAGTGAAGCACTATAACCAGAAGGAATGAAATCATATGAGAGAGAGAGAGAGAGACCAACCGACTCCGTTAGTCGCCTCTTTACACATGGGTTGCTTTTCACGTTTGTCGCCTCTTACGGCAAGCATGGGTTGCTAAAGACCTATTCTACCCTAGATGTTCACGGGTCCCTTGATTCAAACGCTAGTTTGGTCAAGTAGCCTTGGGGAATTGGATACTGCGGACACACCACGGGTTAGATCACTGTGTAGTTGAAAATAGATGGGGATGACACGCGATAGACAAGCTTATTAACGACCTCAGAACATTCACACTTTACCATAGAGGCATATAGGGGAATCTCTCACGATGGTAATAGTTTTACCAAAACGTGACACGAATAGTATTTAATAAATTTTACATAATTACCCAAATATGGATTTATTCATTATGAAAAAAACGGTATAATTTAATCAACCTTCCACCCTCAAGTTCTTTCCTGCAGTGACATTTCAATGACGTACAGTGATGTTTCATTTGAGAAAGTTGCGGCGCTGCACCACACTGGCCTGTTGTAAAACACATTTAGCTCAAGTTTGCGAAAGGTAAGGCCATATCTTTGACATTTGGACTTTTTGTGTATCAGTCTAGCCTGCAACACATCATTAAAGGACAAAAGACACTACAAATTATTCATGAACTATTTACATCCATGATGTTTGTATGTTTAAGGATCGGTTTCTTAAACTACTGATGTCACTCCTTGATGTCTACAAGCAATGTGTCACATTTAGTTAATTTCTCCAAATGTCTATCGGGGGCACGGGTGGCCCAGTCGTCTAAGGCGCCGCGATTCGCTGTGCAGCGTTGCGTCCCCTGGACACGCCAGAAACCTATGATTGTGGGTTCTAATCCCGGTTCACCCCGATTATGTTTCTAGGTTTGTCAGCACCATACCTGTGCTCGTGGGTTTCACTGAAGTGGTAAACGTCTGAAACCTGCATCACTTCGGGCTTCCCTCCCACATTAAGCTGACACGCCGTGATATAACTGGAATAATGTTAAAAGCAGCGTTAAACCCAACTCACTCACTCTAAATGTCTATCTTAAAAATTCTGGAATGACTCAACCAGGTCTTTCAGGGTTAAATATAAGTTGTAAGAAAAATGTGTGGTTCTATGAAATTTGAATCCTGGTGTGTTCTGTCCGTCTTAGGACAGGCGTCAGTACCAAAGAATCTGTGTGCCACTACAAGGGAAAACGTTACATCAGTGTTGTTAGAAACAGCTAATGATCGATTCGTATGATGTTAAAATATGAATATGGTCTCTGCGTCATTTATTAATGTTAGGAACTGTGTTAATGGTCGTCGTGTCATATATATTGAATCATCAGATATTCGAGACTGAATTTTCTCGTTAACATTCTGCATTCGCAACAAGCAGTTAACAAGCAACACTGCAACCCTGGTCAAGATGTTGTTGCAAAAACTCCTGTGCCTATCAAACAGAGGACGCCAGACCTTGAATAGACTGAAGCTGTAACATCACACCTGGCAACCCCTCAAAAACAGGTGGACAGGTCCAGGATGTTTCAGTAAGAATGGGGATTGTACGAGACGGACTGGTATTGGTGAGATGTATACACCTGTAGTGCCACCAACACATCATCACTGTCAGGCACAGACAAGGCCAACATAACCGTTCAATATTAACCCATCTCTCCAGAGGAAATATGTATGTAAGGATTAGTAAAAGGCCTGGTTTAGAATTTCCAGACTGGCACACAGCATGACGCTAGTTGATGATGTGTCTCGTCAGGTTTACTAGCCTCAGTTGAATAGAGAATTGCTCTTGACCATACGCACACACTGCAAATCAACAGGGTATAACTAAATGATAATCCTCTCGTTTATTGATGTTATTGATATCAAAATGTCAACTCTCTAAGATCCATCCTAAGGGGAGCTGCGAAATTAACATTATGCTTTCCAAATTGTCATCACCATCGTCTTTATTATCATTTGACCTCCTTGATGTTTTCTAGACCATACTTTGATTTTACCTTGTCCTTTACTCGTACGTTACGGGTCAAACAGAACAATCTCACCTGTTTCCCGTAGACCTGGTATCAATACTTCAACGTTACAGAAAGTCAATAGATCTTCGAATGTGTCTAAACTTTTTATCATTTATTATGACAGATACATAGGACGAAAATAGCCTTGACGTTGTTATGTAATCTACTCTGACGTTACCACACTGTACCTCTTTTAGTAACACAAACGTCTTCCGTGGAGACGACTATGAAGACTCAATAAATAATTGGATATTCCATAAACGCTGAGGGAAAAAAACATGTTTACACAAGCCAGAAATGGGAAATTTTTAAATGAAGACATACGACGTCAACACCAGAGAATAAAAAGTCTCCATGGGCGGTGAAAAAAATGTCAGTGACAAAAATCATGTCCGATGCAATTCCGTGTGTTGACTTGCGGCGTAACTTTGGGTTTTTTACAAGAACACCTGACTTGCCTTTGCAAGTGATATTGTGATGGGTGCCACCAGTGGGGCAGGATACGTTCAGCTTGTCATGAACACTTAGTATGATTACTATCTGATAGTGATTTATTAACACACGCTTATGATTTAGTCGGGAGAGATTTTCTTATGGTTATGAAAATGTTTTCTCGCTTTAATTCAACCTCAGTCATATCACCAATAGTGAACGGCATTCCGACGTACTTTATCATTATAGCTTTAAATGTTTTTCATATACAAATGTCTAAAAATCCAATACCAAAATGCTAAAAAATAGCTTGTGTCCAAATTACAAATATATTTCACACTAGTCCTTGTAATACAATCTAATCCTCAAATGTATTCAACAGTATTGAATAAATACAGGGATTTTAACAACATAACATGCACGTTATTTCCGTCTCTTCGTTATTAGCAAAATATCACTCTTTCACTAACAGGACACGTAATAGAGGCACAGCTATTAAATGAGACAAAGAGGTCTTTATCAAAGTGTTCAGGGAGTACTGAAATAACATAGCTGTCATTGTTGATCTCTCTGATCAATTTAATCCATCACTTCAAAGAGGACACACATATTCTTCCTGTCTGTCAACTGCAATGTTTCTCGCTATTTTAATAACTAAAGAAACTACAAGCATTAAAAAAACCGTTTTACTTTCTATCCTACTTTAAGTGAAGACTTAACACCCATTGCACAGTACTTTTGTGTTTTATATTCTAAAACTAACGTTTTACCATCAGGATTTCAACATAACGAGAGTAGTTGCTTGTGTTTTACTCTGATGGATTTTTGCCTATGTTTATAATGTCCAAGAGCCTGACCGTCTCACAACGAACTCAGCCAAGATGTGTGAGATATAAACTGAGGGGCAAAAGTAAATATACCGACTTTGTTTTTCAAAGAACCCTCTTCCATGTTTGAAATATAGTACATTTGTGCCGAAAAAAGTAAATTTATTGATTTTCAAAGTTTATAATTCAAAATATATTTTTTAAAGATAAAACCACGTAGATGTTTTCTATGAGTGCTGAAGAGGCGCCAGTACAGTTCATTTTTTACATAATATTGCTAACATAGGATATTTTTAATTGAAAATCAAACATCTGAACAATCGACAAAGAGGTATCGTTTCTTTTGCCCCACGGTTTACGTTTACTATATATTTTGGTGTGGAAAGTCGACAAAAAGCTTAAACATATCTATCTTTTGGGATAAATCTTTGTCTGTTTCACAGACGCACCTTTGAAGCTGGGAAATGTTTCTGTAACCTTTGTTAAATTACCATAACAATATCCAATTGACATATCCAAAGTACATTTTCATTAAACCTCAGATAAGATATCATTTTTGACCCGACGTTTGCATCTGTGTTCCGGGGAAGGCCTTCAGGTTTATTGTCGCAGGTGTGTACATTGGTCAATCATATAATTTTCAGAACTATATTGCCCTTCACACCAAACAATCTGGACTGGTTTTTCTATTTCATTGACAATTTATATATATTTGATTGTTACTCATGTGTACCGGGGAAAGCCTTCCATTTGATGTTACACTTGTGTCATATTGGACATTTTGAACAAAACACATCAAGGCATTTATGTTTCATTGATAAATATGATTCGAAACACAACAAAATTAAATCTTGTTTGCGCAAAGTTGAAACTGTAGGATTTTTTTTGTCTGAATCAATCCTTAAATGATTAAGTCGGAATTGTACAATCGACTTTGCTTTATGCAGAGATTTCTATTGGATATGTAAAGGGTTTTGTCACTTTATTTAGAATTACAGTTAACAATGACTTCGATTTCTCCTTTTAGGCCACAAATCACAACAAGTGCCCTTTCAGTCTTCTCACCCTTACTCCCCATCAATACCAGACATGTCATTACAGATTAGGTCCTTCCACACTTGGAGTTCATGGAGCTTGCAGCTTTGAACACGAAATCAAAGCGCAAAATATCAAATATCTCTTT